AATTTTCAATGTAGGTTTATCCTTGGTGAAAAAATGCACCGTTCTATTGAGTGATGTTGATTATGGGGAGGCTATGCACTTGTGGGAGGCAAGGTTATATGAGAAATCTCTGTTCCTTTCTCCCAATTTTATTGTAAACCTAAGCTGCTCTAAAAAAATAAATATTTATTTTAAAAAATTACTAGGCATGCAAAGAAGCAGAAATGTATAACCCACAATGAGGAAGAAAATTAATCGACAGAGACAGACCCAGAAATGACACAGATGGTAGACTTAATAGACGAGGACTTTAAAATCTTAAAAGCAGCCAAAGGGGAAAAGAGACATATTACATACAAAAGAACAAAGACAATAACTAGAGCATACTTCTCACTGGAAACAATGCAAGTGAGAAGACATTGGGGCAACATCTCTAAAGTAGTAAAAGAAAAAAGTATCGATCTAGAATTCTATACTTAGCAAAAATATTGTTCAAAATTTAAAGTGAAATGAAGTCTTTCGAGTGCGGCCTCATTGCCTCCAAGTTAGTAAATGTCCAATAGCTTTTGTTTCATCACTCAATTGATATTTATTATATTATTTATATTATATTATATTATAATATATATTATATTATATTTATATAATATAATATATATATTATATTTATTATATCAATATTTATTATACCTGTGATATAACAGACACTAAGTGAGGCACTGAATTACAGCAAAAAATAAATTGTAGAATGTCCCCGGAGTCAAGAAACGCCAGTCTCTTTTAACTCCCAAAACAACCCAGCAAAGTTGACATAGATATACTCGTTTTACTAGTAAGCAAACCAGTGGTGGAGCTTGGATAGCAAACTAGGTCTTTCTTACTCCTAAATCTACATGCATTCCATTAAAAAAATTAAAATAACATGAGCCGCATAGCAGAGGGAGATCAGCTCGGTGCTTTGTGACCGCCTAGAGGGGTGGGATAGGGAGGGTGGGAGGGAGGGAGACACAAGAGGGAAGAGATATAGGAACATATGTATATGTATAACTGATTCACTTTGTTATAAAGCAGAAACTAACACACCACTGTAAAGCAATTATACTCCAATAAAGATGTAAAAAAAAAAACATGATCCAGAACTGACTGACCTACACAGACAGCCATTTCTGCATAAAGGTATTCACCAATTCTTTGAAAAAGGAATTGAAAATAAGTATTTCTCAAAAGTCCACTGCATCATAGTCATTACATAAAATTATCCTTACACTGGCTGTATTCAGTTCTTGTTCCAGACCGTGGGAATGGAAATTCTCAACAAACCGTTTTAAAGTCATCAAAGAACATCTTGGATATTATTGCAGATAGAAAATATAACCTGCATAGCTATGGTATAGAGTAGCCATTAAGAGCAGAGACTCTAAAACTAGGATTCCTAGGTCAAAATCTTGGCTGTACTACTTACCAGATATGTGACCCTGGGCAGGTTATCTTCATAGCTCAGTTTCCTCTTCTGAAAAGCGGAGGTATTGACAATCGTATTTCCCTCATAAGCTGTATTAAAGGTTAAATAAGTTAATACGTATAAAGCATTCAGAATAATACATTACATGTAGTCAGCATAACATAAGCATTAGCCAAAATATTATATCCAGATTGGTATATGTCTATACCTAGATTGGTGTATTATACCCAGATTGGCATAATGTTATATACCTCAATTGCTGTCTCACCAAGATCCTGGTGCTCAGAAAGAGTGACTGAATAAATCAGTAAGTGAATGAACAGAAGTTGCTTTCACAAGGAGAGTTTCTGGGTAAGGGGCAAAATGCGTTACCCTTGCACTGGCAGAGATACACTATGTCCACCCCCAGGCATGCACATAAGCAGGTAAGTTGTTGAACCGTGAGATCTGAAGGGACCTCGGAAATCAACTGTCACTCACATAAAATCCAGTTTAGATTTTTAAATATCTTGCTTATAGAAGCTCAACTCTGAGTTCACTTAACCGTGAATGAATATTTTAAACATTATTTTCTAGAGTGCCTCAGATTTCTTTTAAGTGGCATCAGAGGAGTAACTTTCAATTAATACTGAATATGTAGAATGGAACTGCTTAAGATCAATATCCACTTTTTTCCTTACTTTATAATTAATGGAGTGACTGCTCTGCTTTGGCAGCTACAACTTACTATGCAAGTGGGGAACCCCTACAGGGTGAGAATGGGAGAAGCAGGTGACATATACTACTTAAACAATACAGTAAGTACTTGAGAGTCTTCTCATTTTCCTGAGGCTTTTTTTGAAAGCTGCTGCCGCTGCTCCATTTTTACTCACGTTGCTAAGAACAGTGATTTAAGCATTATGAATTTGTTTTGCAATGAACTGAGACATGATTGTTGCAGTTTTTAGAAATGTTTAAAGAGGAAACCTCTTGGCTGCTGTCAGGGCACTAAAGGAAGCTGTGCCCTTTGGAGCTGCCCTAAGGAGCTGGCAAAAAAAGGGCCAAGGGGAATGTATGTTATAACCTGAAAGAGTAGAGGAGAATGGAAAATGAAACTTGCTTCTGGAGCATCAAAGGTGTAGTCAGAAAACCTAAGTCCTACTCTGGAAAGTGGGTATTCACAGTTGGTTTTGCCTACCCAGCAGCCATCTTTAATCTCCCTTAGAGTCCCTCATCTCTTGTTCTCAGCTTGTGGATTTCCAGTGGGACTGATCATGCCCATCCCAAGAATGACCACATAATTTATCCTTCAAACTGGGGTATTTTTGGTTTGTTTTTTATAGTGGTATTTTTTTTAATATCTTTATTGGAGTATAACTGCTTTACAATGGTGTGTTAGTTACTGCTTTATAACAAAGTGAATCAGCTATACATATACATGTATCCCCATATCCCCTCCCTCTTGCGTCTCCCTCCCACCCTCCCTATCCCACCCCTCTAGGTGGTCACAAAGCACCAAGCTGATCTCCCTGTGCTACGTGGCTGCTTCCCACTAGCTATCTATTTTACATTTGGTAGTGTATATATGTCCATGCTACTCTCTCACTTCGTCCCAGCTTACCCTTCCCCCTCTGCATGTCCTCAAGTCCACTCTCTACGTCTGCATCTTTATTCCGGTCCTGCCCCTAGGTTTCATTAATTTTGTATCCTGCTACCAAATTCATTGATTAGCTGTAGTACTTTCTGGTAGCATCTTTAGGATTCTCTATATATAGTATCATGTCATCTGCAAACAGTGACAGCTTTACTTCTTCTTTTCCAACTTGAATTGCCTTTATTTCTTTTTCTTCTTTGATTGCTGTAGCTAAAACTTCCAAAACTATGTTGAATAATAGTGGTGAGAGTGGGCAAACTTGTCTTGTTCCTGATCTTAGTGGAAATGGTTTCAGTTTTTCACCATTGAGAACAATATTGGCTGTGGGTTTGTCATATATGGCCTTTATTAGGTTGAGGTAAGTTCCCTCTATGCCTACTTTCTGGAGGGTTTTTATCATAAACGGGTGTTGAATTTTATCAAAAGCTTTTTCTGCATCTATTGAGATGATCATATGGTTTTTCTCCTTCAATTTGTTAATATGATGTATCATAATGATTGATTAGTGTATATTGAAGAATCCTTGCATTCCTGGGGTAAACCCCACATGATCATGTTGTATGATCCTTTTAATGTGTTGTTGGATTCTGTTTGCTAGTAATTTGTGGAGGATTTTTGCATCTATGTTCATCAGTGCTATTGGCCTGTAGTTTTCTTTCTTTGTGACATCTTTGTCTGGTTTTGGTATCAGGGTGATGGTGGCCTCGTAGAATGAGTTTGTGAGTATTCCTCCCTCTGCTATATTTTGGAAGAGTTTGAGAAGGATAGGTATTAGCTCTTCTCTAAATGTTTGACAGAATTTGCCTGTGAAGCCATCTGGTCCTGGACTTTTGTTTGTTGGAAGATTTTTAATCACAGTCTCAATTTCAGTGCTTGTGATTGGTCTGTTTATATTTTCTATTTCTTCCTGGTTCAGTCTCGGAAGGCTGTGCTTTTCTAAGAATTTGTCTATTTCTTCCAGGTTGTCCATTTTATTGGCATATAGTTGCTTGTAGTAATTTCTCATGATCCTTTGTATTTCTGCAGTGTCACAAACTGGGGCATTCTGGAGACTAAATTTTTTAAGATGACAATTACATAATTTTTGAAATATTTATTTACTGACCAACAAATTGCTTTTCTTCAATTGGTGGACCTATAAAATTGTCCTATTCAAAAACTGTTTTCAAAAGTAAATACTTTATTTTTTAAATTTTTATTGAAGTATAGTTGATTTACCATGTTGTGTTAGTTTCTGGTGTACAACAGAGTGAATCAGTTTATACATATACATATATCCACTCTTTTTTAGATTCTTTTCCCATATAGGTCATTACAGACTATTGAGTAGAGTTCCCTGTGCTACACAATAGGCCCTTATTAGTTATCTATTTTATATATGGTGGTGTGTATATGTCAATCCCAATCTCCCAGTTTATCCCTCCCCCTAGAGTCACAGATATAGAAATATTTTCTAAAAAGAAAATTTGTGACCATTAGAGTAAAATGGGAGAAATTTTCTTTATGTTGATTTTCTGAACATTCAAAGTAACAGGCAGCATAATTATTCTTTACACATTGAATACTTCAGTTTCTTAACCATATCTGTCTCTAGTAAAATGTCAAAGTTATTTTCTAAATAATTAACAGTTTTATCATTTTTAATGTTTTCATAAAATTGCCTGTCCTATTTTTCCAAATTGCATTATATGGTTAATCAGTTTGAAATTGTTGAACACTTCAGTTGACACTTGTCTGTAGATACTGATTATTAGTGGGCAGCTAAGAAAGAAGGTATGTCCTGATATTCTGAGGGTTTTTTAAATCTAACACTAACTTAATTATAAAAAATTGGGTTGTTCAGTTACTCAAACAGTGTATGTACAAAAAAACTGTATAAAATTTCACAAGTAAAGCTCTATTTTCATTAGTAGAATATCACAGCTTATTTGGATGCGATTTTGAATCATGTATACAATCAAACAATTCTGAGTAAAAAATTTGCTCCATGGTTTCATAAGGTAGTAAAAATATTGTTTTACCTTGACATTGTGTGGCACCAAAAATTGTATTTCTCTTACGATGTTAAGACAAATCATTTTATTTTTAATGTTGAACTTTTGAACTTAATTTACAACAAGAGTCACCATAATATCATATGATTCACCTTCATTAAAATAAATTTCCAAATTTATTTAGTTTCCAATAATTTGGGTAAAAAATTCAAACCATTACAGAAATTAACTAATTTTCTATTTGAAGCATCTCAGGACATGGATATAAAGTTAGCACCACTTAACTCTTTGCAAAGTTCTTTTATTGGAGTCAACCCATTAACAGCTATCATATTACTTTTTCTATTGCACGGGAAAACCTGGAAAAAAAGATGAGCAAGTTTCGTTTAGAAGAGAAGTCACTTGATCTAAATGAAGAGCCATGCTTCACAGAGTATATGCAAAAGCACCTATGGCCACAGCACACATCAATTCATCATTATTAGCCACAATATTATTAAAACAACTACTAACATTTGAAGTAGATTCTGATACTCCAGCAGATTTGTACCTCTGGTCATCATGTAGTCAGGGAAATATTATGGCCCCCATTGTGAATGATAAATGTCAACAAATATCTGGTACAAGTTAATCTTCATTATCAACTTTCTTGAGAAATGGAAATTCATTTTCTAACTTTTCGTTAAACATTCCCTTTAAGTTCATTGTTGTTAAAAGAATGTAAATATCATCGTAAAACAGAAAAGTATTACCTGACAATGAAATAAATAGTTGCAGATTCCCCCACACAATAACTGAAAAAACCACAGTAGCAAGATCATGCAGATGACTCTCTGTGCTATACACACGCTTCCTCCACATTACTTCACTTAAACCTCACTTATAATTTCATTGATCCTGCCAGCTGGAGGCCTGGCACAAGCCACAGCACTTCTGTCTGGTACCTATAAACCACCTGACCAGCAGGGACAGCAGCCTGGAATACTTACCCCACTACCACCCAAGACCAAAAAAGTTAGCAAGCCCTGGCAGCTCCTCTCCAAGCATCCTGCTTGCAGTCCTTGAGGGGGTGTTAGTTATCTTATGTTAGAAAAGGCTCAAGACTAGAGAATCATCAATGACTGGGTGCCTTTTAAATTTAGCCATGGGCTAAAGTCAAAAGTCTGTTCACTATATATGCTTCTCTCACACAACTAGAGGAGTCCGTGGTAAAAAGTAGAAGTGCAAAGTGGAGATCTACCAAACCCATTTTTTTGGTCACTGTTAATAATATTTTATTAAAAATAAAGAAACAAGGATAAATGCTAAACCGCTTAGGAAAGCCAACAGGTATAAATCTGGGGGCCATCTCATGCAAACCAGAACACATAGAGGTGGGCACAGCTTCCAGCCTATCAGAACACTGCAACCTCTGGGTCACAGTGATTGGTTCAAAGGTGAACACATGACTCTTGTTGAACCAGTGAGAATGAGCTCCAGATGTTCTGCTGGAAGTCTTAGAAAAGAGCTGCTTCCTCTCCACTAGGGTTGCTGGGCTGGATCTGTCATCTTGTCACCAGTAGAAATAACCTGCCTGAGAATAAAGCCAACACAGAGAGGCAGAGCCACCTGATTCCTGATGATGTCAATTGAGCAGCAGGTCCAGCTCTGCCCAGAAATAGATGAGACTCAGTCCTAGCTTTCATGAAACTAATTATATTCTTAGGAAAACAAGTCAAACCAGGAGTCCATTCACAATTTAAGTTGATCATTTTGCGCTAAAGGTCATTAGCTTTTTATGATAAAATAACCACCCAGGCGAGGTATTTAGCAGCATCAGAGATCACCATGGGCTGCATTGGTGGGAAAAGGCTGCACGGAGAAGGTAAAACCTGAACCAGACTTTGAAGAGAGAGGAGCAAGAAGAGAGGACAGAGAATAGCCTGAGCAACGTTCAAGGCAGGAATGAAAATGGCATTTGTGAAGCCATCTTGCTATTCACACAGTGCCTTTCATAATGCAGCTATAACTCAAGGCCCACTTTAAAGGCTTGAACAGTTGAAAGGGCCAAAGAGATGGTCAACAAGTATCAAATATCTACCTAGCGCCTATTAAGCCCAAGCAACTCTACTGGTGCCATGTAGAAAAGAAAAGAAGAATGGAACAAGATCCTTAGTTTTCAAGGAACTTAAAGAATTATTGATATAATCTATAAATTTTAAAAAAATTAATTCAGAATCATGTAATACTTCGCACATCCAAACATGAATAGGTGCAATGCTGTAAAGAAGTGCAGCTTATCCATTCTGCCCATTCAGAATCTTGAATATAAATGATAGGCAGGTCACTCTAATTCCTATCCTTTCCTTTAAACATCCTGGCATGGCTCTTTTTCAGTATTTACATTCTGAAGAACAATGAAGACAGTAGCTGAGTAAAAGTAAACTCATCAATGAAATGATGATTACACACAGTTTCCTACATAGTTTTCTTGAGCTTATTTATATACAACTAAATGACCAAAACAGAAATATTTAACTATGGTGCAATTCTGGCTTTAACTACAATTCTCCTTATTAGGGAACTATTTCCTTAGGGAAAAAAACGTCCCTGTCCTGATCCAATTGTTTGTGTTCCTTGTTCAACATTTTTCAAGGACCTTCCTTTAATTCCCATGTTTACTCATATGTCAGGCTACACTGGAAGGATGGCTACATTGCACGGCATTTCACCAGCTCATTGAGAGAAATTCTCTGTTTCTCTCTCGGCCATTGCTCACAGGCTTCAGCATCCATATTTCTAAGCTGCAGCTATTATTACCACTGATTTGATACCACATAGATCCATGTAATGGTGGAAATAAAGGAGGCTCATATTTGTCCAATTATACTCTGCAACATTTCCTGCTGCAGTGGCCACTTTCTCCACGTTGTGACATCAAATATCGGGCCAGTAATGGGTTTTCGTTATATATATATATATATATAAATTCTAATATATATGTATATATATACACATATATATATGTTCTAAACTGTTTTCAAGATCTCAAAAGGCTTCCACTATTTTGGAGGGAAAGGAAAAACAAACTACTGTTATTTACTGGGTTATTCTAGCAAATACTCCCCACCATCTACAAGTATCAGAGTTTTACTGTCTACCAATTTACTGTTCAGTTATTAGGGCAATATTGGCACTCGTTAGGGTGATATTGGACTTCCAATAATAAGTACCACGTCAATGGTGCAAACAAGAAATGCCATAGACGTCTACAAAAAGAGAAATCTTACTTCAGGGGTAGCTGTCCATTCATTTACTCATCTATCGATTCAGGGAATATTTATTGATAACCTGCCACATGCCAGGCACAGAGCTAGGCACGGTGACGAGCCAGAGACATGACTTCTGTCATCATGGAGCTTGTAGTTTAGGTAGAGACATGTACAGGAAACAGTCACACAAATAGAGAGATCATTCAAAGTGTTATAAGTGCTGTGCAAAGTGCTATGAGAAAGGGCAACCAGTATGGGGAAGGGTTTAATTTAGATTTGGAGAGAAGTTAGGACTTGATTGAGCTATAAGCAATAATCAAGATTTATCATGATCAAAGGAGTATGAACTAAAAACTAGGTTATCTAAATATTGGGGCCCTGTAAGAGGGTGTCAGACAACCAAAGACAATTATGACGACTTCTAGGTCCCAACAGGTGGTGACCCCTAGCAGGTCACAGGACTAGGGTGTCACAGATGAAGCCCTTCCAGAAGCTGGTGGCTCATCCCCTCTCTGACATAGGTTTGCTATTCAACTTCTCAGATTCACTCCCACCTGTGAAGTCCCCCAAAGTATGATGGTGGCAAATCTCATTAGTTGTTTTAATAGCAGTATTTGGGATACAAGTAGTCCCATCCAGGGGTCTTGCTGACTAGCACAGCAGTGGGTAAGAATTAGGGAAGTCTTGGAGTGAGCCTCGGTTGGTCAGTCACTTAGCCCTACTGGTCAGTCACTGAGTAATGACCCCAGTGTTCTTGCACCTGTTGCTGAGCCTGGGGGAGAGAACTAGTCAAGGTTGGCATTTTCTCAGCTCAGGAACAGCAAAGAGTAAAAGAGTAAAGGGGAAATGAGCATCCAGGGCATAATTCTAAACTATCCCCTCAGCACCCCTCCTCTCAATTAAACCAAAGGCAGAGTTTCTTTACTGTAGGATTTCTCCATGTCTTTCTTAAAATGCCTTCATTTACTGTGAATCTCCAGGGAAGAAGTATATTATGCAATATTTTCTAATCTCTTATGACTAATGTGATAGATTGTAAAATTATTTGCCATGTTTCCATTTTCCCTCCCTGAAGGAAGAATATACATCTCTACACTGATGAGCTCAAGTATGACCATACCCCTTGGTTTGGCCAGTGCAATGTGGATGGAAGTGACATGTTATCACTGCCAGCAGCCATGTCTGTGCAGAAGTCTTAAAAGCCAGCTCATAGCTCCTCTTGTGTCTTCTCTCTACCAGGACAGTCATCAATATTCCAGAAACAGTCTGCTCCAATGCCTGGGTCTTGAAGTGAAGATGACACAGAGCAAACCTTTAACCATTCCATATGGACATGTAGTATGAGCAAGAAATAATGAGCCTGGGAATTCCCTACTGGCACAGTGGTTAAGAATCCACCTGCCAATGCAGGGGGCACAGGTTTGATCCCTGGTCCAGGAAGATCCCACATGCCATGGAGCAACTAAGCCCATGCACCACAACTACCGAGCCCACGTGCCTAGGGCCCGTGCTCCACAACAAGAGAAGCCACTGCAATGAGAAGCCCGCGCACCGCTACGACGAGTAGCCCCTGCTCGCCTCAACTAGAGAAAGCCCGTGTGCAGCAACAAAGACCCAACGCAGCCAAAAATAAATAAATAAAATAAATAAATGTATTTTTTTAAAAAACGAGACTTTGCAGTGTAAGCCCCTGAGGTTCTGTAATCATTTGTAATCAAGGCATAACACACTCGAAGTGTGGTCCTCAACTCCTGTGAGCCCTCAGACGATTTCAGTGTATCCAAGAAGTCAAAACTATTTTCATAATAATACTAAGGCACTGTTTGCCTTTTCCACCATGTTGACACTTACATTAATGATGGAAAAGTAATGGTGGGTAAAACAGCTGGTCCTTATCACAAATCAGAGCAGTAACACCAAACTGTACTAGTATTCATGGTATCCTTCACCCCCATGCACACATAGTTTTAAAAAATACAAGTTTCACTTTATCACTTAATGGAACAGAAAAAAGGACTAATTTTATTAAATCTCACCCTTGAGTACACATCTTCTTAATATTCTTTGTGATGAAATGGAAAGTGGGCATAAAGCTCTTTTGCTGCATA